TAAAAGAAGAGCAACTTTCACATGACTTGCTTGGCAGCAAACTAAATAAAAACCGTGGCTATAGAAGGTTAAAAACACTACACAAATAAAATGTCTTTATCTGTAATGAGTGTCAAAAGACGTCGTTTCTTTGTGTTCTTGAAAACGATTTATTCTCTGAAGAGTTTTGATTATTTCTCCTGCAATCATGTTTATACTATCACATTCAGGCTTTACTTCGTAGATGATATAAGGTTCAGCTTTAACCTGGCCTCAATTTGGATCATTATAAATTGAGTGACTTCTTTAAAAAAATAAAATAAAACAAGAAAACTCGTGTTACAGAATCTGATCTGTGGGAGCCCAAATCAGACACCAGCCACACCCTGGAGTCAAGTGTTTNGGGGAGAGTGTCTGAACACGGTTGAGTGTTACGATCCTCGCCTGGACCGCTGGGCCTTCGCCCCACCACTCCCCAACGACACGTTTGCCCTGGCGCACACAGCCACAGCATGTGCCGATGAGATCTTTGTCACGGGTGGCACACTGCGCTACCTGCTGCTCCGCTTCTCGACCCAGGGACAGCGTTGGTCAGCCAGCCCTACGGGGGGCAGCAAGGACCGCACAGCCGAGATGGTGGCGGTCAATGGCTTTCTCTACCGCTTTGACCTCAACCGCAGCCTGGGCATTGGCGTGTACCGCTGCAGTGCCAGCACCCGGCTCTGGTATGAGTGCACCACGTACCGGATGCCTTACCCCGAGGCCTTCCAGTGCGCCGTGGTGGACAACCTCATCTACTGCGTGGGGCGCCAGCGCATGCTCTGCTTCCTGGCCGACTACATCTCGCCCAGGTTTGTGCCCAAGGAGCTGCAGAGCTTCCCGTCCCCGCAGGGCACACTCCTGCCCACCGTCCTGACCCTGCCTGCCCCTGATGTCCCTCAGACCAGGGTCTAGTTGTCCCTCTGCTGGGCTCATCAGGCAAAACTGGGAGGCAAAGAGTGCCACCCTTACCCACGCTTTGTGGTCCATCTCTGGGCGATCAGGGGGCCCAGGAATTTGGCCATCAAGAGGTGAACCCTAATCCTACTTCTTCCACTGCAGAAAAGAGAGCTGGGGACCGG